TTTATACTGAACGTGTTGTACGCTGTGTGTATTTGAAACCGTGTGTTCTATACAACTATGTGCTGTGGAATAATACGTACTCCGCCTATGGCCTCCTTTCGTGGCCAAAAGGGACTTTAACATTTGAACGGAGCGACCTTTTCTACTCTACTGGGATGTACTCCTTGATATTTAACGTAGGCTGAGGACGTCGCAGCGTAGCTTGTAGCGCTGTTCGCCGCTTGTTCACGGTTCGAATCGGCGGCCACCCTGGTTATCGCTGCGGTTTAAACCGAACGCAAAACGCGGCATCTTACGTCACAGTGGAATAGGACGTCAAAGATCCGATGACGTGATTCGCAGGAGCAGGACATCGTGCGCCGACCGTCACGCTGCCAAATTTTCCCAAATTTTATCAAGAGAAACGATCCGCAAATTGCTCAATTTGAATATGCACAGTGGCCGTTGCTCACTGCTGTCAATACTTGTTAGGACCCTCCTAAAAAACTCATGGAACTCAAGTGAAATCAGTGGCGAGCGATATCCAAACCGGTCCTCGGCTTCCCCTTCCCAAACCCCAACTGACCAAGTCGTGGTGGTCTTCTTTCGTGCGGTGGGGAGTTGATCAGCAACATTAATAATCGGGTTTGACCCGGCACACTCTGGGAATCGGCATGCGTGTTCCGGTGACGAACTTGAGTTTATTTGTCCAGACATCTGGTGGCACTGTGTTGGAAACGTTATGACGGTGACGCTTTCGCAGTGTCGGTAGACCTGGGCTGCCTGAGAAAACGTCTGTGGGTTTTGGTCTGCAATGGAAAGGACGGCAGCTCTAATGCTCACGTAGAGGTTGGTGGGCGAGCCACTGGACGGCTTTAACCCAATTCCCGTTCCGATGGCGTACGTGTACGTCATCAGTTTTTACCTTCTGGTTACGTTCCGACGACGTCGTCGATGACGTCATCGATGACGTAATCGGAACGCAACCGGTAGGAAAAGTCAACTAACTTTATCGGTACCGAGGCTCCCACACAAGGCCATGCGGGGAGGGCGCGTGGCACAGTTTGGCTCCAGCTATCATAAGAGTGCGGCGGTCGTTCCGCTACGGTTCTCTGCGGTAACGATGTCTTTAAAAACAACGGTGTTGGGCCCCTCTAAATGGAATAAAATAAAACGCCGAGCCGCTGGCGTGTTCCGAGCTTCAGCGGTGAACGGAACACCTCACTCACCCTGCAACTTGTAGACGTCTCGGGCTCGGGAAAGGGTTAAGGAGTTGCAGCGGTGAATGTGTGAACGACGTCGGCGAGCAGATCGAAGTGGCCAGTGGCGTTCCCATGCGGGCCTTGGCTTGAGACGAGCCGCGTCTACCGCGCGACGTACCAGCGCGGCGAAGTATGGCTATTGCGATTGACCGCGGCAGACTTTGGGAGGTTTGGCTGTCAACTCTGTTTGCAACAGCTTGGCAGAAGGCGTAAGGAAGCGATAGCCATGCGTGGGTGCCATCACAGCGGAATTGGCCATGAAAATGAGCGCACATTGATCGTTTAAACGTCGACGGTAACGTCTGACGGACGGGTTTGTCAGTAGCACTGTTTTACTATTTCTACTGCTGTTCCCACGTTTTGTTTACGTTTGCGGTTTTTTTTATTCGGGTTGCGGTCGTTTCCCGCGGTTTATTTGAATACGCGGTACGGGCAACGCAACAACGTCACGTGTTTGCGATTGGTCGGAATGAGATCACGTGGGTTTGAGAATGCCGTCACAAGGTAAAAAAAAAACCCCACGTGTTTTTTTGTTGTTGTGTAGCGTTTGACAACAATAATTGCCGACCACTCTTTTTTAAGATCCGAACGGCACGCGCGGGAACTTTGTACGAACACTTTTTGAACGTGAAATAAAAAGTAATCTCTCTCAGGTAGTTGTGCAGACATTAACAAAGTCGTGTTTGTTGTTCCCGATCATTCTCTCACATTTCTCCTTTTATGCCACAAGCCGCGCTGCAATATAAACTCGCGGCATTCCGTTTGTCCGTGAACTAATACATTATAAGAGAGCCTTTCAGAAGGCCTGAAGCAACAAGTTACAGGAAGTGGACCCCCCCCACCACCACCAGATGTTTGGCTCAAAAGTTGATTCTGCAGGTTTTGTGTCGGCCGCCGAAATCGTCGTGATCTAAAACTGGGGAGATTGAGCGACATACGGGGGGCCCTGTGAGCGCCTCTCAGAAGACAATTCGAAAGAAGTCGAAACAATTGGAAACCTATAGACCCAGTAAACATGGCACGTTGGCTTCAGTGGTTTCAAGCACGTGCTAACAACCCCTTTGGCCCGATGATGACGGTACATTGACTGCACGTACCTACGACAGCGTTGATGGTGCCACTGCATTTGCACGTACAGATGATGGAATATAACAAGAGTTTATATTATTTCCGTTTGAGGCAGTCTTATCTACACACCTGTGTTAAAGGCTCCAATAGACGGCAGTGTTTAAGGCTCCCATAGACTTCAATGTTAAATCCTCCCATAGACTTCAATGTTAAATCCTCCCATAGACTTCAATGTAAAATCTTCCCATAGGCTTCAATGTTAAAGTCTCCCATAGACTTCAATGTAAAATCTTCTCATAGACTTCAATGTTAAATCCTCCCATAGACTTCAATGTTAAATTTTCCCATAGACGTCAATGTTAAAGTCTCCCATAGACTTCAATGTCAAATCCTCCCATAGACTTCAATGTCAAATCCTCCCATAGACTGCAATGTCAAATCCTCCCATAGACTTCAATGTCAAATCCTCCCATAGACTTCAATGTTAAATCCTGCCATATACTTCAATGTTAAATCCTCCCATAGACTTCAATGTTAAAGGCTCCCATAGACTTCAATGTTGAATCCTCCCATAGACTTCAATGTTAAATCCTCCCATAGACTTCAATGTCAAATCCTCCCATAGACTTCAATGTTAAATCCTCCCATAGACTTCAATGTCAAAGGCTATCAAAACGGGTTGTGAATCTCTTACTCTTAGTTTTTTCGGTAAAGTCACGTAGGTAAAAAAATTAAATAAAAAATTATAAAAATAAAATAATAAGAAATCACGACGTTTCGGAGGCAACACAAGTCTCCGTCATCAGGTGGGACCGTCACAGCCAGATTTGCTGTATCAAGTGAAGCTCATGTTCACAGCTGTTCATGCGGGGGGCACGTCGCGCTGTGCTTAGCTCAACAAAGACAAAGATCCCCTGTATAGCCTGAACAGACTGTAGGGGCAAGTGCTGTTAGCGAGCACCTATGAAGGCCAGCACGGCATACGAGGGGGTGGGTGGCCAGCACCACGCCCGACCGCCTTTGTCTCCCCAGTGGCGATGTTTACACATCGCACCAGGTACTCATTTGAGGCTGAGTCGACCTAGGGGAGGCCCAGGACCGGTTCAGATAATCGTCACTAGGTGTTGGCCGTGAGCGGGAATCGAACCCGGGTCGCAGCGCGCTAACCGCTACCCCACCGCTCCCCACAACACAAAGACAAAGATAGCCTGAACAGACTGTAGGGGCAAGTGCTGTTAGCGAGCGTGCTCCCCACAACACACACACAGAGACACACACACACAGAGAGACACACACACAGAGAGACACACACACACCGCCAGCCGACACGGGGTACACTGCGCACACCTGGACGAGTGGCTCCTCGGCCTGGCATCGCCTCGTCCTCTCCTCCCCATGCGGATGGAGTTCCCTCCACGACACCGACACGCAACTCAGGCGGTTGTCCACTGCTGGATGGTTTTGTCTCTCTCCACTGCACGAGGCAACGAGGCTGCAGTCCTCGTTGTCTTCGTCGTTCTTCGTCGACGTTCACAGCGGCCGCGGGTTGTCGCCGAGAATCGCAGCCGCGTTCATGCGCCTCCCTCGGGGCACTCCCTCCCCCCTCGGCTCCCTCCCTCCCCCCCCCCGGCTCCCTCCCTCCCCCCCTCGGCTCCCTCCCTCCCCCCCCGGCTCCCTCCCTCCCCCCCCTCGGCTCCCCCCCCTCGGCTCCCCCCCTCCCCCCCCTCGGCTCCCCCCCCTCGGCTCCCCCCCCTCCCCCCCTCGGCTCCCCCCCCTCCCCCCCTCGGCTCCCCCCCCTCCCCCCCTCCCCCCCCTCGGCTCCCCCCCCTCCCGCAGCTACCCCCCAGCTCCTCCCACCCTCATCCCCCACACCACCTCCCCCCAGCCTCCATCTCCCCCCTCCCATTTCCACTCCCCCCCAACCTCCACCCCCCCACATCTCACCTCACCTCCCACCTCCCCCCAGCCTCCATCTCCCTCCTCCCACCCTCATCCCCCACACCACCTCCCCCCAGCCTCCATCTCCCCCCTCCCACTCCCCCCCAACCTCCACCCCCCCACATCTCACCTCACCTCCCACCTCCCCCCCAGCCTCCATATCCCCTACATTCCCCATCTCCCCCACCTGTCTCACCCCCCCCCCCCACATCTCACCCCCTCATCTCTCCTCCACCTCCCTCGAGCCTCCCCCCCATCCCCCCTCTCCATCCCCCCCCATCCCCCATCTCCCCACCCCTCTCACCCTCCCCACATCTCTCTCCCCCCATTCCCCCCATCTTCACCCATCACCTCCGCCCCTCCCCTCCAATTTTTAATTTAACAAATACCATAATAATGATGATGATGAGTGTGTGCGTCTCATACTCCCTAGAGCCTTGAACATTGACGTCTAGATTTTTTTTATCAGGGCCTCTTCACGGCTCGGCTTCACGATCCGACACCCAGGCTCAGACTGTGAGCCTCCGACACCCAGGCTCAGACTGTGAGCCTCCGACACCCAGGCTCAGACTGTGAGCCGCTCGGTGGCTTATAAAGACGCAGGGGCGGCTCAGCCGTGTTCCTGGCTCAGGCTCAGCTATTGTGGGAATCCTGAGCGCCGTGGCTCACTTGAGCCAGAGCGGAGCCGGCTCCTTTGGGCTGCGAAGTGCAAATGGCGCGGACTAAAATAGAAAATGCAAACGAGGCTGAACAAACGAGACAAAAGGATAATCTATTGATTGGAAGGGTGAGGCGAGCCCAGAATCGTGGCAACTCATCAAACCACGACCCTTGGGATTAGAATCTCCGCGTGACGAGAAACACCAAAATCATCACAACAGAACCATCGGTTTCAGGCAAAAAAAACCAGACGTTTTCTGCAACGCACAAAGCACGCTGCACCTTCTTACGGTACAACAAAGCTCTTGGCCAAAAGCGTCATGCAAAAAAAAACCCACCAGCTCCTGAGGATCTGCATTGCCCAGGTCATACATTGTCTCAAGTCACATTTGTTAGATGCATTGGTAACTTAAGACAACGTTACAACGATGCAGTTCTTCAGGAACTAGTGGTTTTTTTTAAATCGCAGAATGATTACGGCCCGATAACTTTTTGTACACATGCAGTGTGGGTCGACGAAGCATGTTGATCAGACGGTTATGAACGACATTGTTGGCTATAAACTATGAACTATAAACTATTTTTTTTTATTTCACCAGGTAAGGCCCACTGAGCTGAGCTATATCGCTCCTTATTCAGAAGCGACCTGGCCACACGTGATAGCTCAACGAAGTGGCTTATCGCGTGGAAATGTATCGCAGCCAAATAGTCTCAACGCGTGTTTCTAAATGTGGAGGGAAAAACCGGAGGACCCGGAGAAAAAAAGATCCACGCGACCACGGGGAGAACACGCAAACTCCAAATATACAGCAGCAGGCGTCGGGGGTCGGAATCGAACGCCGCGACCTCCTGCATACCAGGCGAGGTAGTTAACATCTCGCCACCGTGGCTATGAGACGGGAAGGCTGACGGGTGATGAGGTGGAGAGGGGAGCGATTGCGAGCGACGTTAATGAGCCCACGAGACGGTGAATGTGTCGGGGCCATATACAGGGTGCTTCAAAAAAATGTGAACACTTACATGGGAATATCGTTTTTAATTAAAGAACGGATAATACTGGTAGGAACCATCTGGTTCCACCAGCCCACAGGGGATTATTGTGTCCGTCCGTTCGTCGTGCATCCAAAAATGGGAGGGGTGGGGCTGGGTGGAGAGGGGAGGGTGGGGAGGGGCTGGGTGGGGAGGGTGGGGTGGGGCTGGGTGGGGAGGGGCTGGTCACCCCGTGGTGCCCTTATACAACTCAACGTTTAACCTACTCACGCCGGCTTGTGCCCGCCCTCACAGTCGGCCATATTTGCGGAATACACCACGCCGCCGTTGACCCTGGCCATTGACCGAGCAACCCAACGTTCCTACCAGCTCCCTCCGCAGGAATGTGTTACACTGAAACATCATAACAAATGTAATGTTAGTAGCTTCAAGTCAAAGAGTCTCCACTTGTTCGCCATCGTTGTCAACACGTGCCTGGAATCTTCTCCAGGTGGTCTCCAGCGTCCAGAGGCGCATTTCTCGTGGTGTCGTTGCAAATTCTCGGAAGTGTTCACATTTTTTCAACCCCTGGCGGTGCACAGCACATGGAAACGTTGGATCAACGTCTCTGGGCCCAGCTTTGGCCCAACGATTCTGACCACACACCAATGGCCGGCTTAACGTTACTGGGAAGACAGAGGTGGCTAATGTGTGAGCAGCGTTGGGTAGGGTTACTTTTAAAAAGTAATCAATATCTCATGGTTGTTCTCACATTAACCCACTTGATTAGACTCCATCATTAGCACCCCTCCCCCGCCCCGCCTCACCACCCGTCAATTGTCAATTGTTCTTTTGACTCATTTTAGAAACATTCTTAACGACGAACAACGACCACAAATAATCAATCGGAACAAGTTTACCGGAAGTAATCCGACGGCACGGTGAGAGTGGAGTAATCGTAAGGGGTTGCCGGCACGCACCGGCCTGCTGGCAATCCGATTATAGCGGTTGTGGAGTGTGGAGTGTGGGTTACGGTGAGGATGTTGATGGCGGTGATGGTGATCATGGTGGCGGCGGTGGTGATGGCCGTGGTGACGTTGATGTCGTTGTTGATGGCAGTGGTGATGGTGATGGTGGTGTTGTGGTGATGGTGGCGTTGCGATGGCAATGGTACTGGTGCGGTGGTACTGGTGTTGGTGGTGGCGGCGATAGCAATTGGGATAACGGTGGCAGTGTTGGCAGTGGCAGTGAGAGCGGTGCTGGTGGATGATGTGTTGGTAGTAGTCGTGTTGGTCGTGTTGGTGGATGATGTGTCGGTGGTGGTCGTGTTGGTGGTGCTGGTGGCGGTGGTGTTGGCAGTGGCAGTGAGAGCGTTGACGGTGGTGGTGATGATGCGTCAGCAGTGGTCACGATGATGCGTTGGTACTGGTCGTGTTGGTGGTGCTGGTGGCGTTGGTTTTGCTGGTGGGTGGCGGTGGTGTTGGCAGTGGCCGTGTTGGTGATGCTGGTGGTAGCGATGGTGCTTGGCAGTGAAAGCGGTGATGGTGGAGGTGGTGGTGATGTGTCGATAGTGTTCATCACGATGTGTCTGTAGCGATCGTGTTAGCGGTGCTGGTGGTGCTAGTGGTGCTGGTGGTGCTGGTGGTGCTGGTGGTGTTGGTGGTGCTGCTGGTGGTGCTGGTGGTGGCGGTGGTGGTGGCATCAGTAGTCGTAGGGGTGGCGACTGTGTGGGCCGCGGGCGGCGTAGTAGGCGTCGTGCACGCCCTCTTGGTCGGCGTTGTCCTGCCGGCGGAATCGCCCGTCCACCCACACGCCCGGCACCCCCAGCTCCTCCATCATGCGCATGTAGCGGTCCTGGTATTCGCGCATGCGCTCGTACTGCTGCTCGGCGTCGCGCGGTTGGAAGAGGGAGGGAGGGAGGGAGAGACGCAACAGCAGCAGGAATAATTAACAGCAGCCGGAATCACGACAACGGCAGCAGCAGCATCATCGACGGCGGTGAGAGCGCCGCCCGCCGCCACGCCCTTGCGCCACGATCGCTGAAGGTCACCGACTTTTCCCGGGGAGGCTCCAACCGGACGCGCGTGTGAGATCCCGCGCAGAAGCTGTTAACCGCATCAGTATTTCTAGGGTCAACGCCGCCGGCAGTCTTAACCGGGGGCGGCCTTGCCGGATTCGAACCGTGAAAACCTCCGCGGCAGGGGGCCCGGGCTTCGCACGCAAAAGTCCCCCGCGAGCCCCATCCATTCACGACGCTCCCGTCTCACTCACTAGCTGCTGGTACTCGTGGTAGGGGTTGTAGCTGCGCGAGCTGGAGTACGGGTTGTACTCGTTGCTGTAAGGGTCGCGGTGGTCTCCGTACGAGTCCTGGTGACCGCCATAGCCGTCCTGGTGACCTTCGTGGGATCCCCGTTGACCCCCGTAGGGGTCGTAGGACTCCTGCTGCCGCCGCCTCTCCTCCTCCTCCTCCTGTCGCCGATCCTCCTCTTCCGCGCGCGCCCGATCTTCGTGGCCGTAGTGGCCGCCGCCGCCCCTGCGCGACTCGTCGTCATGGTCGGGCTCGCCGTAGTCCTGGCCCCTGTCTTGGCCGTCATCGTCGTCTTCACGATGACCTCCGCCCCGCTCTTCCTCCTCCTCCTCCCTGCCCCCGTGCCTCTCGGACTCACTGCAACATCGGGGGAGGAGATCGAGAGGGACCGGGGTTGGGGTGTCAACTCGGTCTTGAATTTTCAAGCCTTTTTATGTTTTTTTAACAAGGTCCTCCGTTAATTGGAAAATACACTCCGCAATGTAATTTCCCTGGTAAGTATCGATGCACTTTGAGGCCACATGAAGTGTCGAAACACCCGCTGGCAGGAGGTCACGGGGACAGACCCAGCAGCGCCACACTGGCGAGATGTTAACTACCTCACCTGGTATACAGGAGGTCGTGGGTTTCATCCCGACCCTGACACCTGCTGTATATTTGGAGTTTGCGGTGTCTCACTCCCCATGGTCACGAGGGTTATCATCCAGGCCCTCCGGTTTTCCCCTCCACATTTAGAAGAGTATTTGGCTACTATAAATTCCCACGTGATAAGCCACTTCGTTGAGCTCTCGCTTGTGATGGCACCTCTGAAAAAGCAGCACACAGCTCAGTGGGACCTTACCTGATGAAACAAAATAAACAAAATAGGCGGAACGAGATGACCGGCCGATGCACCACCACCTGTGCCCCCCCCCCCCTCCCCTTGTGCCAACCTGCTGGGCAGTCCTGGCTCCACCGGCTCGGCGGGACCCACGGGGTAGAACTTTGGCGCCAGGACCCCGTCCATCTCCGGCGGGGCCTGCGGGGGGTCTCCCCCGGCCCCCTCCGTGTCCGAGGCCTCCTCCTCCGCCGGCTGCCTCTTCATGCGCTGCAGGCCAAGCTGACGAGACGAGAGTGGCGGCGGGCCCGTCGCTATCGGCATCAGAATATTGATTTATATTGGAGGAATCAGATGAGCTACGAAGCTCTGTTTTTTGCAGGTGTCCAGCCAGGGGCAGCAACAACAAGGCCCCGGCGCATCGCCTTTAATTCTTAAACTCAGAATGAATAATGTGATGCACTACCTGGTTATTATTGTTAGCTGCCAAGTATAATTAACTTCACGTATCTCCCCACGATTCTTTGGCACCTTTTCAGGTTTAGTTTTACTTGCCGATGTCGCACGCTTCTATGAAGTTAGCAGAAAACTTTCGGTGAAGTTGATGAAATCGGAAAAGGTCGGCTCACCTCTTTTCCCTGCGGGGTCAGCAGTTGACGGAGCGCGTTCTTCGGACGTGCAGCTGCTGCAATCAGAACACGCGTCAACAACAACAACAACGACAACAACAACAACAGTGTCAGCTCGTAACGTCACACAGTGGGTCGCTCACTCTCTGGGCGCGTGGCTGCGTGGGTGGGGTGCGTGGGGTGTGTGGGGTGCGTGGGGTGCGTGGGGTGGGTGGGGTGCGTGGGGTGGGTGGGGTGCGTGGGGTGTGTGGGGTGCGTGGGGTGGGTGGGGTGTGTGGGGTGCGTGGGGTGTGTGGGGTGTGTGGGGTGCGTGGGGTGCGTGGGGTGCGTGGGGTTCGTGGGGTGTGTGGGGTGGGTGGGGTTCGTGGGGTGTGTGGGGTGCGTGGGGTGCGTGGGGTGCGTGGGGTGCGTGGGGTGCGTGGGGTGCGTGGGGTGCGTGGGGTGCGTGGGGTGGGTGGGGTGTGTGGGGTGCGTGGGGTGCGTGGGGTGTGTGGGGTGCGTGGGGTGCGTGGGGTGCGTGGGGTGCGTGGGGTGGGTGGGGTGGGTGGGGTGGGTGGGGTGGGTGGGGTGTGTGGGGTGCGTGGGGTGGGTGGGGTTCGTGGGGTGTGTGGGTGCGTGGGGTGCGTGGTGGGGTGCGTGGGGTGGTGGGTGGGTGGGGTGTGGGGTGTGTGGGGTGCGTGGGGTGCGTGGGGTGGGTGGGGTGTGTGGGGTGCGTGGGGTTGCGTGGGGTGTGTGGGGTGCGTGGGGGTGCGTGGGGTGCGTGGGGTGTGTGGGGTGTGTGGGGTGCGTGGGGTGCGTGGGGTGGGTGGGGTGCGTGGGGTGGGTGGGGTGTGTGGGGTGCGTGGGGTTGCGTGGGGTGTGTGGGGTGCGTGGGGTGCGTGGGGTGTGTGGGGTGTGTGGGGTGTGTGGGGTGCGTGGGGTGCGTGGGGTGGGTGGGGTGCGTGGGGTGCGTGGGGTGGGTGGGGTGTGTGGGGTGCGTGGGGTGTGTGGGGTGTGTGGGGTGTGTGGGGTGGGTGGGGTGGGTGGGGTGCGTGGGGTGCGTGGGGTGGGTGGGGTGCGTGGGGTGTGTGGGGTGCGTGGGGTGCGTGGGGTGGGTGGGGTGCGTGGGGTGTGTGGGGTGCGTGGGGTGCGTGGGGTGGGTGGGGTGCGTGGGGTGAGTGGGGTGGGTGGGGTGCGTGGGGTGTGTGGGGTGGGTGGGGTGGGTGGGGTGCGTGGGGTGTGTGGGGTGGGTGGGGTGCGTGGGGTGTGTGGGGTGGGTGGGGTGGGTTGGTGCGTGGGTAAGTGTGGGTGCGCGGGTGGCGGTGGGTGGGTGTGTGTGTGTGGGTGTGTGTGTGTGGATGCCTGTGGGTGGGTGGGTGTGTGGGTGGGTGTGTGGGTGGGTGGGTGCGTGGGTGGATGTGCGGGGGGGTGTGCGGGTGGGTGCGTGGGTGCACGGGTGGGTGCACGGGTGGGTGCGTGTGCGTGTGGGTGGGTGTGCGGGTGGGTTGGTGTGCAGGTGGGTGCGTGTGTATGTGGGTGCGTGCGTAGTTGGATCTCAAATTCACCCAACTGAGACAAACCAACCGAACGGCTAAGTCACGAACGGCTGAACCCCTCCCTAACAGCTGCCCTCCGTTGGCCGCAGGGGAAGTGAGAATGTGGGGACCTGCCTTTGCGCGCCGCCCCGTGCTGGCGTCGTGGCAGCGGTGCCCCCTGCACGAGCTCCGCTGCAACAGAGAAGCGAAGGGAACAGTTCGATTCAGGATCACAGTCACCGGACTAACGAGCGGAGATTTCATCGGACGCATTCCCGGTCATTCGCGTCACTTCGTGTGAAGGTGGTTGCGGCTCTGGCAACGCTTGCTCACGCCACTGCTAGCGGGATGATCTCCACTGGAGGGGGTTCCAGAAGGAAGGATGGCAAGACAAGAAACAGGATATGAACAAGGTCAAGAACCACGGATAGAGAGTGAGTGCAGACCCTGGCAATTCCACATTCCTCGTAAGAGAAAACCACGGATAGAGAGTGAGTGCAGGTATTGGAAACTCCACATTCCTATGAAGAGAGCCAGTCACGCCCACACACAACAACAACAACATTATTATTATTTTAACCCGAGCCTGCTATATGGAGCCACTGAATGGAATTTATTACAATTGTTGGACACAGTCGGGTGGGGGGATAGAGAGAGGGAATGTGAAAGGGGTTGGGCATTGGGGTAGAGTGGAGAGGGAGGCGAGGCCTTATTACGTAACTTGGCCGGTCTAACAGTGGGACCCACTGTGCGTTCGAAAAGTCCATGACCGGACAAAGAGGGGGCCGCCGCTACAGGAAAGGAATACCAGCGCTGTGAACATACTTTGTAAAAAATGAATAAACCTACCGTCGTTGTGATAAACAACCTAACGGCGTCGAATGGCGAGTGTTTGGAATAATATTCGTCGAGTGAAGACCGTGGAAAAGCGAGTTGGACAAGACGCACACTCAACACACCTGGGCGCTGGGCTCTCAGAACCATCCACGTGTCCCTACAGCTGGAGAATCACTCACGGGGATAGGGGGGGGGGGTGTCCTCGTGGTTGTGAGCCGTGAGTGGAGTGAGGAGCCAGACGGATAGTTCTTCCAAACTGGGATGACAGCCTCGGGACAGCGATGATGACGATGGTGGTTGTGGCGATGATGATGGTGGTGGTGGTGATGACGTTGGTGGTTGTGATGATGATGACGATGGTGGTTGTGATGATGATGGTGGTGGTGATGATGGTATTGACAATGACGATGGTGGTTGTGATGATGATGGTGATGACGTTGGTGGTTGTGATGACGATGACGGTAGTGGTGATGACGATGGTGGTTGTGATGACGATGACGGTGGTGGTGATGATGGCGATGGTGGTGGTGGTATTGATGTTGGTGGTTGTGATGATGACGATGGTGGTGATGAAGATGACGATGACGACGTACCACGTGCACTTCAAGGAAGCCACGTAGAGAAATAACCACAGCTTGGAGGACAAAAGCCCGCTCACGACTCTGTGTGTGTGTCAGCGCACAGACTCGTATGTCACCGCACGTACGCGGCTCGCACGCATGTGGAAGCACTTATCCCACGATGCTCCGCACAAATTACCCTGTCCAGTGTAAGCAGAGGGAGTTGATTTATATGATTATGCGAAAAAGGGCCCTGTCTGCTCAATGTCCCCGGTGGCAAAAATGAGTCGCTGTGTTCAGACTCAAATAGGGGGGCTCGCTTTGGGTTCAGTGTGTCACGTGTCACTTTTAATATGGCCTGCAGCCGGGCGATGTTGATATAAATGCGGAACGAAACTGTGTTTGTGTACAATATTACGTAATTATCGACGTTATTTTTTTTTTATTCGCTGTCTGTAAAAGTTTGCACTCGAACGTTCTTTCGGTAAAGTCATGTAGAAGGGAAATAATAAAATAATATAAATGTAAAAAATAAAAATTCTCACGTTTCGACTGCAACACAAGCAATCATCATCAGGTGTGAAATCCACAGCAAAAAAAAAAGTCGTGAGAATTTTTATTGTTTAATATTTTTATTATTTTATTATTTCCCTTCTACGTGATGACTTTACCGAAAGAACCAAGAATATGGATCCCTGCAGTCACGAAAGTTTTAAATCAAAAGACGTGTCCACCCTTTAAAACAGAAACTTGCGGGCCGAAGACAACCCCCCCCCCCATCTCTCCCTGTCCCCCCCCCCATCTCTCCCTGCCCCCCCCCACCCCCCCAACGTTTTGGATGCGCCACTGACCAGGAATCAACGTGGAGAAGAGCACCAGGAAGGCGACGAGGATCACCGAGGGCACCTCCATCGTCGGCCGTCCGGTGATGCTGGAACCTTCGTGACCGCACCTGCGGTGAACAACGTTGACTTGCTGCTACATCGTCACTCGCAAGGGCCCCCCCCCCCCGCCCCCCCTCCCCCCAAACTGGACACATTTATTAATTTATTTCCAGTCGTTTATAATAAAGATGAAAACTATATTAATAATATACACCCGCAATGCAGGAGTCAAATTTTGCACACGACAACCGCTCACCCTGATCAGTATACACTCTCATCAACATGAAATGAATACCAGCTCTAGCATCCTGTTGTCTTATGGCAACCGGACTGGTCCACGTCATAGGAATGTGGAATGTCCACCACTGGCTCGGGGCCACCAATGTAGACGAGGGCCACGGCACGTGATGCTGCTCGGTATTCGGTTTCTGGCTTCGCTTATAATCGTGGCATGAGTTGGTTGAAATATTCTAACGCTTCTACCAGATTTGTCGTTGGCGTCGTGTGAACGGTCAGACGAGGCTTCCTGGTGCCCTGCAAGCAGGGGGGGGGGGGTGCCCTGGCCGCCCCCCCTGGTGGCCAACGCTACGAGTTGGGGGGGTGGGGGGGGGGCCTTGACGACCACCGTGAGATTATAACGTGGGACCTTTTTTGCCAGAATCAAAGCACGAAACGAAACGGTGTATCATCCGTGTGGAAATTTACAGCGCCCAGACACTCTAGACACGTGTTTCTAATATTGTCTTTATATAGCCTCTTACATTATATGTACCTACATAACACTGTGCCAAAGTCAAGTCTGCAACTATATATCAATGGGTCTGTGTAGAAGCCAGCGGGTTTCTTTACAAATCTGTGTAACATCTACAGGCCTCTGCGCAAGTCAATTGGCGCCCTTGCTTACATCTCATCAAATCTCCAGGTATTAAAAAAATAAGAATACTGTAGATGTTACCCTTTCTAGCAGTTGTTAAGATGTTCAAACACCAAATAGAAACCTTTTCGCGAGGACTCGAGCGTAAAACAACACCGCCGCCACTTGTTTTCAATGATGCGACGACTCTAGATGATTTATTTTTCGATTTAAAGCTTTCGTGACTGCAGGGATTCATCTTCTTGGTTCTTTCGGTAAAGTCACGTAGAAGGGAAATAATAAATAATATAAAATAAAACATAATAAAATACAATTCTCACTATTTTATTATGTTTTATTTTTATTATTTTATTATTTCCTTCTACGTGACTTTATCGAAAGAACCAAGAAGATTTGATGCTGCTAATCCTGCATAATGCACGGGCATAATATGACTTTGAAACCTCCCGCCCACCTCCTACGCAGTTCACAAGTAGTACTAATCCCATATCTGCATTTTCCATAAATATGCAAAATTCCTCTTGAAATGCAATTATTTTTGTCAAGGCGCTCTTCCCCCTCCAACCCAGCTTAAATATACGCTCCAAGCCTGGTGGTGTTCATTCAGACGCTGTCTTCCCGACAGACCTGTTCTTCACCTGAGGACGGCTGTCTGCGTTGTGGCCGCAACGTCGTGAGAATCATTTTATTATGTTTTATTTTTATTATTTCATTATTTCCCTTCTACGTGACTTTACCGAACGAACCAAGAAGATGAACCAAGAAGATGACTCTAGAGGAGCCGTGATTTACGAACCTCGGCACGACCATGTGAGACAACATAAAATATTGGAGGGGCCCCCGCCTGACCGACGGCCTCACCCCGTGAGCTGATGAATTTAAATGTCGCTACTACGTGCAGCAAGCCGATCTGCATGCTCCACGTTGTATGCACAGACAGGGAGGGAGGCAGGGCGATTATCTGGTGGCCACGAAGCGATGCGAGCCGCGAGCTTTTGGGGGAGGCTCGGCAACTCTGACTAAAAATGTTCCAAATGCCAAAACTATTTTTGCGTAACCCCCCACCCGCGCTTCGCTCCGACCCCCTTCCGACCTCATTCCTCGAGCAGCATCGATGCCTCCATCCGTGCCGAGGTGATCTGGGGCGAGAGCGGACTGTGTTTTCCTCTCCTTATCCACCACCACTACCACGCTGTTCATGCAGTCCCACACTCAAGTCACACCACCACCACTACCACACTGTTCAAGCAGTCCCACACTGCAAGTCACACCACCACCACTACAACACTCACTGGCCCACCCTCCAACTCACCCACGCCGCACACACGAACTCACATCACACTCACATCGCCCGCACACTCGCCCGCACAATCGCCCGCTCCCTCGCCCGCTCCCTCGCCCGCTCCCTCGCCCGCTCCCTCGCCCGCTCCCTCGCCCGCTCCCTCGCCCGCTCCCTCGCCCGCTCCCTCGCCCGCTCCCTCGCCCGCTCCCTCGCCCGCTCCCTCGCCCGCTCCCTCGCCCGCTCCCTCGCCCGCTCCCTCGCCCGCTCCCTCGCCCGCTCCCTCGCCCGCTCCCTCGCCCGCTCCCTCGCCCGCTCCCTCGCCCGCTCCCTCGCCCGCTCCCTCGCCCGCTCCCTCGCCCGCTCCCTCGCCCGCTCCCTCGCCCGCTCCCTCGCCCGCTCCCTCGCCCGCTCCCTCGCCCGCTCCCTCGCCCGCTCCCTCGCCCGCTCCCTCGCCCGCTCCCTCGCCCGCTCCCTCGCCCGCTCCCTCGCCCGCTCCCTCGCCCGCTCCCTCGCCCGCTCCCTCGCCCGCTCCCTCGCCCGCTCCCTCGCCCGCTCCCTCGCCCGCTCCCTCGCCCGCTCCCTCGCCCGCTCCCTCGCCCGCTCCCTCGCCCGCTCACCCGCCCGCACACTCACACAATCACCCGCCCACTCACCCGCCCACTCACCCGCCCACTCACCCGCCCACTCACCCGCCCACTCACCCGCCCGCCCACTCACCCGCTCACTCACCCGCACACTTACCCGCCCACTCACCCGCTCACTCACCCGCACACTTACCCGCCCACTCACTCCCTCGCCCACACACTCACCCACACAATCACCTGCCCACTCACCCGCCCACCTACTCACCCACCCACTCACCCGCACACTCACCCGCTCACTCACCCGCACACTCACCCGCCCACTCACTCCCTCGCCCACACACTCACCCACACACTCACCCGCACACTTACCCGCCCACTCACTCCCTCGCCCACACACTCACCCACACACTCACTCACACAATCACCTGCCCACTCACCCGCCCACCTACTCACCCACCCACTCACCCACCCACTCACCCGCACACTCACCCGCACACTCACCCGCTCACTCACCCGCACACTCACCCGCCCACTCACCCGCCCACTCACCCGCCCACACACTCACCCACCCACTCTCCCACCCACTCAGCCGCCCACACACTCACCCACACTGCCACACACCCGCCCACACACTCGCTCACACAATCACCCGCCCACTCACTCACACACTCACCCGCCCACTCACCCGCTCACTCACCCGCCCACTCACCCGCCCACACACTCACACACTCACCCCCACTCACCCACCCACTCACCCGCCCACACACTCACACACTCACCCACCCACTCACCCGCCCACTCACCACCCTGTGGACCACAATCCAATGTCGCTTTCTGCTCCTTCCCTCGCACCGCTCAAAATGTAAAAATTCCCTCCCGTCATCAAAATCTCCCCTCCCCCCCAAAACGTCTCAACAATCTTTTGTTCGGTTTAAGAAACGTTACTGGTTCCTTTTTTTTTTTTTAACAAACACAACCCACTTAAACAAAAAGTATACAAAGGCGAAGTTTACTGCTGACCAGTTCGGCGTCGTTGGGTTCCTCTCGTGCTCAAGAATCATCGATTATAAAACACAAAACAAAGACAAAGATCCCCCCCGTAATACCACAACAGACTGCTGGGGCAAGTGCTGTTAGCGAGAGACCTATGAAGGCCTTCACGGCACACGAGGGGGTGGGTGGCCAACACCCCGCCCGGCCGCCTTTGTCTCCCCAGTGGCGATGTTTTTGTTTTTACACACCGTACCAGGTACTCATTTGAGGCTGAGTCGACCTAGCGGAGGCCCAGAACCGGTTCAGATAATCGTCACTGGTTGTGTTGGCCGCGAGCGGGAATCGAATTGGGGTCTACGGGGTTCGTAGCGCAGCGCTCACCCCCCCCCCCGACACAACCCAGAGCCTCCCCCCCCATCACGGTACGCAATGGAAATCGTCGTGAAAATTTGGAAAAATGCGAGTGACCGAGCGAAGAGGAGGATGGGCAGAGCGCTGGGGGGATGGATGGGGCTTTGATCAGAATGGGATCAGAATGGGATCAGAGAAGTCTGGGGAGATCGGGGGTAGGGGGGGGGAATCGGGGGTAGGGGGGGGGGGTATTTTGGGTGGCGTGGGGCGAGGAGGAGGAGGGGGATGGGACACTTGAAAGGGTTTTTGGTATTCTCGGCTCTGACTGCCGTCATGTGGGCAGCAGACAGAGAGGAGGTGAGGGCGGGTGGCAAAGGCATTGCCGGCTACAGCCACCCGTCCCAACAGTCTATGTAGACTGCACAGTATACAATATATAGACTGTATAGCATATACTGTGTAGTATACATATAGACTGTATAGCCACCTCTCACACGACTGCCATACACAAAGCCGATGTTATTATTTATCCAACGCCGAAACGTTGTGGCCGAAACTTCGTGAGAATTGTATTTTATTATGTTTTATTTTTATTATTGCATTATTCACGTAGAAGGGAAATAATAAAATTTAAACAAAATAAAATACTATTTTATTATGTTTATTCACGTAGAAGGGAAATAATAAAATAATAAAAATAAAACATAATAAAATAGTATTTGATTATATAAAATAATAAAAATAAAGCATAATAAAATAGTATTTTATAATGTTTTATTTTTATTATTTTATTATTTCCCTTCTACGTGACTTTACCGAAAGAACCAAGAAGATGAATCCCTGCAGTCACGAAAGCTTTAAATCGATATTTATCCACACTGGACACATACACACACGATATAAAACTCAACATATATCAAACAACTCCGTGCCCTACAAAGGACACCGGCGACGTTTCGGTCAATGGCCCTTCCTCGTAGCACAACATGCGCGAAAGAAGTTCAACATGCACGTGCTTCACAGCACCTCGACTCTTGTATTTAAATGTCGCCTATTGCTGGACACGCGTTTGCTTTGACACGGCATCAAGATGCAGCCGTGGGGTGCTGTGAATAGGGGTCATTGTCCGAAACGTCGCCTGTTGTATACTGTTACTTGTAAGGCCACAGCGTTGCTGACGAATCTGTTGAGTTTTGTTTGTGTATTGTTATTTGTGTACCACTGGCAAAGCAGCAGCAGCAGAATTGCCACCAGATAGTTTGTTAAAGTTTCAATATTAAGTTTAGTTTTGTGTGTGTGTCCCCGTCTGTGCCTGTGTCTCCGTGTCTCTCTGTGGGTGTCTCTGTGTCTGTCTCCGTGTCTCTCTCTGTTGTCTCCATGTCTCTCTGTGGGTGTCTCTGTGTCTGTCTCCATCTCTCTCTGTGGGTGTGTCTGTGGGTGTCTCTGTGTCTCTCTGTGGGTGTCTCTGTGTCTCCGTGTCTAACTAACTGCAGTGTCTCCGTGTCTAACTAACTGCAGTGTCTCCGTGACGCTGCTGTATGAATTTAGATGAGTCGGCCCAACTCACCCTCAAATTAACCGGTTCGAACCGGTTGTATGCAACAAATTAACCAGAACCGAACCATTTTAACATGTTCCGAACCGTAATTATTTCAATCGGTTTTTGGTTCGACCGGAAACGAATCAGAAATAACGACGGTGACCGCGTAACCATTAAATCATGACAATGACGTATCATTACGATGTTGATGATTGTATATAACTTCTGTATTGTGATGATGATTGTGGCACTCCGATGGGTAATGATGAGTGTAGTACACCTTCGAAATGATGATGAATGTGCCATGAATATAAGATGGCGATGATGATCAGTAGAGTCGGTCATCTTTATTTAGCCAGTCGATGAATTAATACAAAACGAGACTGGCGAACTATCGTGGGCGACCTGGATTACACCATGAAGGACACGTCAAGAACACGCAACGATTTGTTTTATAAACATTTAAACGCAACAAATCTGGACAAAGTTTGACAATGATTTTACAAGTGCGTAGAAGGCTGAAAGGTGACGCAGGTGAAATTTGCACTTCACAAGTTGAGACGAACATTCGACAGTAACTCGTGGAACTCGCATGACATGATTCGAGTCAGCGACTTGTGTGGGATCATGTTGATGGTGGTGGTGATGATGGTGGTAGTGGTGATGATGGTGGTGATGATGGTGATGATGGTGGTAGGTGATGATGATGGTGGTGGTGGTGATGATGGTGATGGTGGTGGTGATGATGATGATGGTGGTGATGATGATGATGATGGTAATGGTGGTAATGATGATGGTGACGGTGCTGTGTGAGTCGTGAAGGCGGAGTGATCGCGGAAGGTGAAGAAAGAGACGACCACTTTACCAGAGGCCCGCGTGTCCGTTCCGAGCTCCCGCAGATCAAGGTCCGAGTTCGTGTCCGGGTCAGTGGTGGGTGAGCGCGTGGGTGAGTTGGTGGGTGAGTTCGTGGTCGAGGTGAGAGAGGCGCAGAGACGCGGCAGAAAGTGAGAGCGTTCAGCCTGGTGGGTGAGAGTCCTTGCCTACTGCAACTCCCCTTACACCCCCCCCCCCCCCATTCTCTCTCCCCTCCCCTCCCTCTCCTCCACCCTCGCTCTCCTCCACCATCTCCCCCCTCTCCCCACCTCTTCCCATCGCTCAACTTTTTTTCCGTTCTCCCTCCTCCCCGTCTGTCCCTACCTCCTCCTCTCTCTCGACTCCCCCCCCAGACTCCACTCTCTCTCTCCTCCCTCTCTCCCGGCTCCTCTCAACCCCAATAACGCCGCATATCTTCCATCTCGCCCCCCTCCCTCCCTCCCAACCCAACCACCTATCCCCGTCCAACTGCCCAAGGCTGCCTCCCATCTGGCATTCGTCGTAATGCGCGAGCGAGGCGGGGGCTCGAGATGAAGGGAGATATTGCGTGTGCGTGCGAGGAGAGCATTAGCCAGTGTGTTTGGGTTATTGTGGGGGCGCCGCGGTGGCTATAAGATGTTAACTACCTCGCCTGGTGTACAGGACGTCGTGGGTTCGATGCCGACTCTGACGCCCGCTGCTGTATATTTGAAGTTTGCGTGTCTCTCTCTCTTATCATCATCGTCATCACGGTGGCTATGAGATGTTAACTACCTCGCCTGGAATACAGGAGAGGGCGTATGTTCGATCCCGATTCCTGACGCCTGCTGCTGCTGTATATTTGAAGTTTGTGTGTTCTCTGCGTGTTCTCTGCGTGGTCACGTGGATCTTTCTACGGGTTCCTCAGATTTTCCCCTCCACATTTAGAATGCACATCATCACGCCTTTAGAGTGTCTGGCCGATAAACACAGCCACGCGACGAGCCACTTCGCCGATCTCTCATTCGTGACGGGCAACTCGCTTCTGATAAAGATCTACACAGCTCAGTGGGCAAATACCTCGGTAAAATAAAACACTGAGAGTCTTAATTAATTATGGAGATAATCCGCTGCCGTGCTGCGCCAGCTGACGTTACGATCCATCCCCGTGACATTGTTTCGCAAGAACAAAGTGTGAAATAGGCACCACGTGCGTCGGTGTCACGGCAGACATTAGTGACGTCACACGGCGACATTTGTGACGTAACACGGTAGACATTAGTGACGTCACACGTCAACATTACTGAACAAACTAGGAAGAAAGAAAGAATACAGTTTGGGTACTCAACAGTCTCCCGATAGCGAAGGAATTGGGGGACAGCTGTTGCATCAGCTGGCTTCTGTTCCACATGCCCCCAGATGGTTTCATTCTTTGGTGAACCGTGTGAGTTAGGGGGTGTGTGCTGTGTGTGTGAATGGGAGCGGTGGTGCAATGGTTAGCGCTAATCTGCGCTACGAACCTGGTGACCCAGGTTCGATTCCCGCTCACGGCCAACACCGGTGACGATTATCTGAACCGGTCCTGGGTCTCCCCTAGATCGACTCGGCCTCAAATGAGTAGCTGGTGCGGTGTGTAAATATCGCCACTGGGGAGACAAAGGCGGTCGGGCGTGGTGCTGGCCACCCACCCCCTCGTGTGCCGTGCCACCCTTCACAGGTGCTCGCTTAACAGCACTTGCCCCAACAGTTAAGGCTATATCCGGGGAACCTTTGTCTTTGTGTGTGCGCGTGTGAGAAAGAGAGATGTTAAGAGAGAGTTTTCGACACCTCCGACTTCGCATGGAGACGCTATGTGGCCGCATGGACGGGGCTGTCGTTGACTGGCAGATGAATTCCCAACTGCCCTCGACTCCCAACAACCGCCGAGACCCAACGCTGGACGAATGACAATTTGCCGAAGCTTCACCCGGGCAAGACGTGGGAGGTGGGTGGGGGGGTGTGAACCAGAGGTCGCAAACGGGTTTTGATTCCTTACCCGTACCGGTACCCGGCCGCACCAGGGTCGCAAATGGGTACCCGTACCCTACCCGATACCCGGCTACCCGTACCCGGCCGGGTATCGGGTAGGGTAAGGGTATCGGGTACCCGATTGCGACCTCTGAGATGAAGCCATGTTGCAGGCGCGGGTGGGTTGATTCTAGGAACTTGAATTGTGAGAAGAGACAAGACGTTGGGAAATGAGTGACAAACGGTGACTCACCAGTGACTCACGGCCTACCCGTACCCGTACCCGGCCGGGTACGGGAAGCCGGGTATCGGGTAGGGTACGGGTATCGGGTACCCGGTTGTGACCTCTGGTGTGATCCTGTATCGCCAGGCAGAGGGGGCCATCAGCTGGGCAAGCGGCTGGCGTTGGTGGTAGCGGGCAGCTGGTGACCTCTGTCCGGGTGCGAACAGAGGTCACCGAGGGGCTGACGACTCCATCCCGTCGTCGGTGACCACCAACACCGCGGCCCCCGCCTTGAGCGCCGCAGATGTCGCCCACCTGAGGAATTTTTCGATTTAAAGCTTTCGTGACTGCAGGGATTCATCTTCTTGGTTCTTTCGGTAAAGTCACGTAGAAGGGAAGTAATAAAATAATTCTCACGAAGTTTCGGCCACAACGCAAGCAGCCGTCCTCAGGTGAAGACCAGGTCTGTCGAGAAGACAGAGTCTGATAGACCTATTCTCCACCTGAGGACGGCTGCTTGCGTTGTGGCCGCAACGTCGTGAGAATTATTTTATTATGTTTTATTTTTATTATTTTATTATTTCCACCTGAGGAATGTCGCCCGCTACACACGACGACTTCCGAAATCTGGTCCGCCGTGACGTGCGTCAAACTTCTTTCGCGCCGTACGTAGCCAACCGTGCAAATCGGAAGTGCGTGGAGGGGGGGGGGATGTCACCAAATTGAACACAAAGAGCAGTTCTAAAGAAATGAGCTTTCAATCTGGATGATGATGATGATGATTTAAAAGTGCACAGCTCCAGTGGAATCCTGATATCGGAAGGAAGAGCGTTCCAGACGGCCGCGGAAGAAGCGCACCTGGAAGCGATGCGGTGACCACCACCGTCTTTGTCCGATGGCCAAAAGCCGCTGCTCGACTCCCGTTAACCCTGCGCCCTCCAGGGTCACCCGGCGCGACATCGATGAGTTCACTTGTTAATGTGCAATCGGAGGCCATACCGGGGGACGTTTGTCTGTTGTGCCGCTAGAGAATACGCGGGTTCGTGAGGTCCGCGTTCCCGCTTCACGTGTTCACGGAGTGGCACACGGGCGATGGTCCATCATCATCACCATCCTCACCGTCACCTTCACTCCCTCCGCCATGCATGGCCCAATACCCCCCTCCTTCCTGGTCCCACCAGGCAATGGAATTGGTCGTGACCCGCCGTGGTGGTTATTAAATGCCGCCAGTACCTCCTAGCATATGGGCGGGTAGGCACCGTGGACAGACAGCGGAACGTGTGTAAGCAGGGGACTCCCCTACTTACGAACATTCGACTTAAAACAGACCTCTGGAACCGAACTCCTTCGTAAGTAGAGGATGCTTACCCCGAGCTCTCAATACTCTGATATTGCGCTGTTTTTGAGTTGTACGCCTCTTGGCGTCATCTGGTCCAACACTAATGGAGACTAGGCTCTAAGAAAAGCTGTCTCGGGTGTGGACCAATCAACTTCAAGGACAGTTGCATATCATTATCATCATCAGAGTTGTTTCTTTTTGTTTGCATTTTGACTGCTTGTGTTGTGGTTATTGCAAACATGATGCCTTGTATAAAGGTGTCAGTTTTTGTACCAGTTGAAAGGGTAAAAACCTACCACTATATTTTGCCACTGGTAAAGAAGGTCTCATTGTGTATCATCAGAGTTGTTTCTTTTTATTTGCATTTTGACTGCTTGTGTTGTGGTTATTGCAAACATGATGCCTTGTATAAAGGTGTCAGTTTTTGTACCAGTTGAAAGGGTAAAAACCTACTACTATAAGTATAGAGGAGTCCCTGTACACCATGTCAGGTATTCATTCAATCGTTTAGGGGGGGGGGGGTGTTGGTTTAGATGCCACTCGCCACTGACGTTAGCCAGGAATCACTCGGATCGACTGGATTCCTAGCACAGTGCGCTAACCACAGCACCACCGCTCCCTGCAGTTAAAACAGTGTTTAAAAACAAATAAATTCCCGCACGAGTAGCGCAGACGCAGTTAAAAATAATTGAGCGGTTTCCTGTGCGAATGAGTCCTGTGGCTCGCTTGCTTGCAGCTCCGAGGCAGTGGTGCAAATTCCACATTCCCATGCAACATGTGCGAGTCTCCCAAAGAGCGAGTCGCAGTCTCCTGCTCTCGTACGGCCGCTGATGTTGACGCAGAGCAACAAGCGACAATTCCACGTTCAGGTGGCCAAGGCCAGACAGCCGCGCCAATAGCAGCAACAGCAGCAGCAACAGCAGCAGCAGCGTCGCTGTGATGTCTCTCCTCCTTCGTATCTGTGGATCGGGGCTGTTCTGGGGTAGTGGTCGGGGTAGTGGTAGGGGTTGGGGTAGTGATGGGGGTAGTGGTAGGGGTTGGGGTAGTGATGGGGGTAGTGATGGGGGTAGTGGTCGGGGTAGTGATGGGGGTAGTGGTCGGGGTTGGGGTAGTGATGGGGGTAGTGGTAGGGGTTGGGGTAGTGATGGGGGTAGTGGTAGGGGTTGGGGTAGTGATGGGGGTAGTGGTAGTGGTCGGGGTTGGGGTAGTGGTAGGGGTAGTGATTGGGGTAGTGGTAGTGATGGGGGTAGTGATGGGGGTAGTGATGGGGGTAGTGGTTGGGGTTGGGATAGTGATGGGGGTAGTGATGGGGGTTGGGGTAGTGATGGGGGTAGACGGGTAGTGATGGGCGTTGGGGTAGTGATGGGAGTAGTGATGGGGGTTGGGGTAGTGATAGTGATAGGGGTTGGGGTAGTGACAGGGGTTGGGGTAGTGATGGGGGTAGTCTCTCTCGTACGACAATTCCACGTTCAGGTGGTCAAGGCCAGACAACCGTGCCAGTAGCAGCGGAGTGTGTCGCGTGTGATGTCTCCCTCGTGTTCGTGGATCGGGACATTTCGTCGTTCGCTATGCCTCGTCCGGTCTACTGGTTGAGAGTCGCAGCAGAAATGAAAGAGGCTTCGTGATTGAGCGGTGTTCGTTGT